CGGGATGGTGAAAGCATCCACACTCATAGACAGAGTTTTGGATGGGATGGTGGTAAACTGCTTGCGATCTGAATTGTACTTGTAGATGGCATCCACTGTAGACAATACCACCAGCCGTGGCCCAATGCCAGCCAGGCGTACCAGTTCTTCTGAGTCTGGGTTCAGGGTGTACACAGCCCGGAACTGGCAGCTGGAGTCCCGAAACAGGATCAGGAAGTGGTTTGCTGAGCTCTTTTCCATTTCCTAAAAAGTAAAAAGAGCAACAACAGTGTTGGGGATCTTCTGATTCCTTATGGATATTGTAAATCACCCCACACACCCACACACACACACACAACTCATACTCACTTCCACAATCTTGTTCTTCTGTGGCTCGTTGACCTTTCCAGCCAGGCAGCAGTGAGAGAGAGCGTTGTGGATGATGAACTTATTGGACTTGAAGCTTGGCTCCTTGTACAGCTTGGGACCTGTAAGATACACCCATGGTAAACTGACATACATAAAACCCAGCACTGAAATGAGCTGTCAAAGACAATCAAATGCTACTATACTTATATTTCCTTGAATAACCGAACTATGGTCTGATCCAGGACTGAAGTTCAGTGCGACATAGATAACAATGTGAGATTTTTCTTTATATGAAGAGACTTGTTTGCATCTGTTTTCCTATTCATATGAGGACAAATATCACTCACAAAAAACTGAAAATGACAAAAACGCCAAAAGGTTTCAATAGGAGCCAATTGATCTTCATTTATTTTTGAACTTGGTTAGTTTGAGATAAGGGTTTATTAACTGGAAAAAAAACTACAATTAATAGAAATTTTCCAATAAAAGTGTGCATGTACCAGTGTATTCTGGGATGGAGGCTGGAGAGGACGCCATTGAGCCATTTTCCCAGTCCTTCTCTCCATTCTGATTGGCCAGTCGACTTGGTGACATTAGTCTTGCAGGGGAATGAGGCTGACTAAGAGGACAGACATTGTGTGGCAAGGTGAACAAAGAGCCTCAAAAAAAGGAGTGTAAAGAGATAGAGAGGCGGCCATGATGGTCTTACCTGGGTGATTTCCTCACCGCTGGGGAGCTAATACCATTTCCAGAGTCATTGGCTATAGAGGACAGATTTTGGCTGGAATGGGAGTAAACCTTATTGAGCTGTGAACCTGGAATCATATAGTTGACAAAAGAAAAGGGCTTGTGAGGTATTTCAGCTGTTTTGGTTCATTCGGAGACTCAATGGACATGTTTCATTGACTCTCTGGGTCAAGTCCCAGCACTGACCCTGCTGTTGTAGTTTGTGCAGTCCAAACTGAACTTTAAAAATCCAGAACTCACTTCAATGAAGAAAAAGTAATTGTGTAAATAAATACTTATATTAACATAGCATGTCCACACCTCATATCTTGCATGGTTCAGCTAACTATAAGCAGTGTCTTCACTGGGCACATGAAAGTAACAGAAGCTTGTGGGGACAGTTAGACAGGGTCAGCAAGTTAAGCTCAGTAAGGACACTGCGGGGGGCAGTATTCATTACCAAGAAAGCCCTTAGCTGGACTGCGGGACAGACCCGAGTCATCCCGGAATTCTGTTTTGGGCCGCTGCTTTTTGATGGCACGCGTGCTGGTGGCCTTGCTTCGCAGCACTTTGTCGAGCTCCTCCATAAGCTTCAGTTGCTGCCGCCGCTGGTATTCCTGCCGGGTGAAGTCCCCACGCCGTGGTGGGGGGCAAGAGGCAGGCACAGGTCTCTCCTCCATCCGACAGGATTTAGGATCCTCCAGTGAGGCAAGTCTGCTGGTAGTCCTGAGTGAAGAGCAGTGTTAGGGTTAGGGTCAGAGTTAGTGCTGGTAGCCCTATGCTGCTTTTCCTGTTTATCCACTATATTCCTTAGAATATGTGTCAGTGTCACCTGTCTTCTCTCTCCAGCTCCTGCCGGTGCCTCTTCAACTCGTCTGCCCTCTTCTGCTGCATGTCTAACAGTGCTGCCCTCTGTTGGGTTTCACCCTCTAGCTGGGTCTCCTCCTCCTGCACACACACACACTGCCCCTCATCACACACAGAAAGGAACACTCGATGTGCATTTGTTTTTGTGCAGTGACCTCCTACCTTGAGGAACAATCCACTCCCCCCTTTCATCTCTGGCTCTGACTGACTACTCATGGAGCTAGAAGAAACACGGGGCCCTTCCTCCCCACCACGCTCTGGCAGGGAGGACATGGAGATCTCCATCAGGCTGCAGTGCTTGCTATTGTAGGCTCCCATGGTGTCACTGTCCATGGAACATTCGGAGGGGGCCCCAGAACTGCCAGTGCGTCCGGCTGGAAGCTCCTGACCCCCTGCAGGCAAAGCTGTACTGTCTTCCAGCTCAAGGCTAAATATTGTGTGATCCTCACTGGAGCCTGTCTCTGATGAGTTATCCCCCACCAGCGGGGGGGACGGTAGCTCACCAATGCTGAAGGATGAGCATGTCTGCACCTGACACTGGCTGGGTGACACCTTGCGGAGGTGCTGCAAACTATCTACATTCCTCTGGGGGGTGAGGACACGCGTCACAGGTGCAATCTTCAGCTCATGAGGCCGAGTCTGGTGCTGGTGCCCCGGACACTTAGGGGGTACAGATCGAGCCCGTCGGTGGGACGCCTGAGTGGGTTTTGGAGATGTGGAGGCACTTGGTGCCTTCCGAGAGGGTGAAGGTGACGCGGAAGGCGGATCACGGTGGGGAAGGGTGCGGCTGGCGGGGATGACCCAAGCCCGGGAGCAGGGTGAGCTCTGTCTGTTCATGAGCATCTTCTGCTGCTCAGAAAGTCGCTGCATGTCACTCTGCAGGGAGCTGAGGGTTGCACTCAGCTTGGACACCGCGTCACTGTAGTCTCCCAAGGGCACTGGTCCCACCAGCTTCTCTTCAGCCTTCTGCAAGTTTGTCCCTGTCTCCACGGAGAAGGTCACCTGTTTCTCCAGTTTGGGTGGTGTTGGTGGCTTGCTGGTCTCCTCCTTGCCCTTGTCTTGCAGCAGCTGTTCCTCTGGGGCTAGTCTGCTCAAACTTTCCTCTTTCCCAGAGGAGGTGCTGAGCTGACCTGCTACAGGCCCTCCTTCCTCCCCTGCTGCTTGCTGTTTCTGGAGCTGCATCAACGCACTGTTACCCAGGCGCTGCCGGTGCTTGGCGAAAATGGCCTCAATCCTCTGCTTCTGTGCTTCAATGGACTTGCGCTTTTCCTCAAGCTTTGCTCCCAGATCTGACATCTCCGAGGTGAGGGCTTGACTCCTGCTGGGACTTTCGTCTGATCTCTGGGCCCAGGAAGTCATCTGTAGGCTGGGGGTCTCTCCAGGTGGTGTGTCAGGGGCTAGTTTTTTCTTGCGCTCAGCAAAGCTGGTCATCCTTGTGCCATTATCTGACTGGAGCTTTCGCATTGAAACACTGGCAGGAGTTCCTGGGGTAGATCGTGCTTTCGGTGGGTATCTTGATGACTCTGATTCTATGCTAATGACACAGAGAACAGAGTCTTCCTTTCGAGACTTGCCCAAGCTGTGCTTATTGCGGCGCTCCTGAGTTTCACCACGTGGCCGGTACAGCATACTTGACTGTGATGGGGCGGAGCTGCTGAGACGGGCGGCACCCCCATGCTCATCAGGTGAATGCAGGTAGAACCCATCTGGAGCACCTTCTGGACAAAGCCGGCGTTCCAGCTTGCCTTGGCTGTGGAGGACCTGCAGGACCTCCTCCGTGGAGGACACATCCACGGGCCCGTTCTTGTGGCGGGTCCCTGGCCCCCCAGTCATAAGATGGCTGAGGTCCTCTGGAGGGGTGTAGGGCACGCGAGTCATTGCTGGCACTCCAGCTTTCAAGCTGTCAGAGCTCAATGACCGCATCATGGTTCCCACAGGGTTTCCCATGACAACATCAACGTCACTATCCAGGCCAAAAGGAATGCTGAACGACACAGCAGACAGTGGACGGCTGGAGATGACCATGGAGCGAATGAAAAAGGTGATACAAGGGATAGGTTAGTGTTAGGGTTAGGGTTAGCAATAAGAACCACTGATACTCAACACCTAAGAAAAAATGGAGCTCACCAGATCTGTTTCTTAGCCCAAGCTCTTCCAATACCCTCTAATGAGACATGGAGGTGCAGTGAGTCAGTGATACTGATTAACACACATCACACGCTAAATATACATGCACATGAAAACACACTTATACACACACTCCACATAAATGTGCACACACACATGCACACACACTCCATAAGTTTGTATTCATAAATGTGCACACAAACTCAACATAAACAAGCACACTCACTTAATATAAACATGCACACAAATGTACACAGACACATACACACTCAACAGAAACTTGCAGACACACACCTGCTGTAGCTCCAGGAGATACTGGAGATGATTTTACCACCAAGGGCTGCTTAAAGATGAAGGTGGGAGAGGCACTGAAGCAAGAAGAAATGCAGTTAACTGTACTGTGTAACACTCTGGTCGAGCTTCTACTCAAGACCTTCCTATTAGTACACTATTAATGCACTTATCCTGGAACCTTTGGTTTCCCACAAATGGACTTGAGGTTAGGACTCAAAGCCGCATTTCTGACTGAGCCTAACACTTCTCCTGATACCTGCATACCTGCTGCTGCTCCCACTTGGTGGAGTTGTGCAGTCAATCAGTCCAGATGGATCTAAGGGAATTAAGTAACTGATTAAACATCATAATACAATTAAAAATGTATTTATTCTTGATTATTTTATACCAGAGGTTCCCAACCATGCAGCATAAAAGCACAGTACCGGAAAGATCCAGAAGCTCCAGCGGACGCACGAAGTCCGGCTTGCGCACCTCAAACCATCCCAGCAGCTCTGCCATGAAGCTCATGATGTTGACCTTAAAGTGAATGCACACTGAATGTCTGGCCATGTGATCAGCCTAGGTGAGGCTATGCTAATCTGACATCCTAAAATGATGGTATTCATTTTAGATACAGTTCAGCTGCTGCATACTAATAAACTGTCTCACACAGATAATACAGACTTTTCAGCCCCTGTCCACCTTTCAGAACAAATCCTTCAGACTAACAAAAACAAAGACTAAAGGGCTCCAGCAGAACATGCACACACACTTCCTGTCCCATAAGTCAGTTTGCTAACTGAAGGCTCTTTGTACCCGCAGTGCAGGCGAGGTGTACAGCAGATCCTCCACAGTCAAGGGGCAGCAGCTTTGTAGGCAGGTGTTACAGAAATCCCGAACCAGCTGCAAGTTATATAGGCTGTCTGCCACTGACATGGTGTCCTTCAGGCACACATCTGAGAGGAAAGATACACAGCAGTGTAAGCTACACTCTAAGGGCAGCAGACTGGGACAGTAGTACGTATAA